TAACCAAATCAAACACACCTCTATAACGACCCCAGGTAACTAAATCAAACACACCTCTATAACGACCCCAGGTAACTAAATCAAACACACCTCTATAATGACCCCAGGTAACTAAATCAAACACACCTCTATAACGACCCCAGGTAACCAATCAACACACCCATAACGACCCCAGGTAACCAGTAATCAAACACCACCCTCTATACGACCCCCAGTAACTAAATCAAACCACCTTCTATAACGACCCCAGGTAACCAAATCAAACACACCTCTATAATGACCCCAGGTAACTAAATCAAACAAACCTCTATAACGACCCCAGGTAACTAAATCAAACACACCTCTATAACGACCCCAGGTAACCAAATCAAACACACCTCTATAATGACCCCAGGTAACTAAATCAAACACACCTCTATAACGACCCCAGGTAACTAAATCAAACACACCTCTATAATGACCCCAGGTAACTAAATCAAACACACCTCTATAATAACTCCAGGTAACTAAATCAAACACACCTCTATAACGACCCCAGGTAACCAAATCAAACACACCTCTATAATGACCCCAGGTAACCAAATCAAACACACCTCTATAATGACCCCAGGTAACTAAATCAAACACACCTCTATAATGACCCCAGGTAACCAAATCAAACACACCTCTATAATGACCCCAGGTAACTAAATCAAACACACCTCTATAATGACCCCAGGTAACCAAATCAAACACACCTCTATAATGACCCCAGGTAACCAAATCAAACACACCTCTATAATGACCCCAGGTAACCAAATCAAACACACCTCTATAATGACCCCAGGTAACCAAATCAAACACACCTCTCTAATGACCCCAGGTAACCAAATCAAACACACCTCTATAATGACCCCAGGTAACCAAATCAAACACATCTCTATAATGACCCCAGGTAACCAAATCAAACACACCTCTATAATGACCCCAGGTAACCAAATCAAACACACCTCTATAATGACCCCAGGTAACCAAATCAAACAAACCTCTATAATGACCCCAGGTAACTAAATCAAACACACCTCTATAATGACCCCAGGTAACTAAATCAAACAAACCTCTATAATGACCCCAGGTAATTAAATCAAACACGCCTGACCTGTGTTTGATTTGTTTGTGTCTCCTTCAGGCCGCCGCACGCTGACCTCCTGACAGTCTCCGCCCCCCTGCGTCTGAGGGAGGAGCCGACCAATCAGAGAGGTGAGGGAGCGGGTCAGGAGAGGCTGTCTGCACCAATCAGAGAGCAGCATGGAGGGCCCGCCTCCTATGCACAGACCCCGCCCCCCGTCCACAGAAAAGCCCATAGGAAGACCAACAGGAGGAAAACAAGCGACTCCTCCACCCCCTCTCCTCCCACAGGCCACGCCCCCCCCGGGCCCTGGCAGTGCTGGCAGCAGGAGAGGAGGGCGGGGCTTAAAGTAGACGCGTTCTCTTCAGACCAGAGCGACTCCATGGACCAGACCATCGAGCAGGTGAGTCTGTCAGGTGATCCAGGTGTTCTCAGGTGTGAGTCAGGTGTTCTCAGGTGTGTGTCAGCTGTTCTCAGGTGTGTGTCAGCTGTTCTCACGTGTCTGTCAGGTTTTCTCAGGTGTCTGTCAGGTGTTCTCAGGTGTCTGTCAGGTGTTCTCAGGTGTGAGTCAGGTGTTCTCAGGTGTGAGTCAGGTGTTCTCACGTGTCTGTCAGGTGTTCTCAGGTGTCTGTCAGGTGTTCTCAGGTGTCTGTCAGCTGTTCTCACGTGTCTGTCAGGTGTTCTCAGGTGTCTGTCAGGTGTTCTCAGGTGTGAGTCAGGTGTTCTCAGGTGTGAGTCAGGTGTTCTCAGGTGTGTGTCAGCTGTTCTCACGTGTCTGTCAGGTTTTCTCAGGTGTCTGTCAGGTGTTCTCAGGTGTCTGTCAGGTGTTCTCAGGTGTGAGTCAGGTGTTCTCAGGTGTGAGTCAGGTGTTCTCACGTGTCTGTCAGGTGTTCTCAGGTGTCTGTCAGGTGTTCTCAGGTGTCTGTCAGCTGTTCTCACGTGTCTGTCAGGTGTTCTCAGGTGTCTGTCAGGTGTTCTCAGGTGTGAGTCAGGTGTTCTCAGGTGTGAGTCAGGTGTTCTCAGGTGTCTGTCAGCTGTTCTCACGTGTCTGTCAGGTGTTCTCAGGTGTGAGTCAGGTGTTCTCAGGTGTGTGTCAGCTGTTCTCAGGTGTCTGTCAGGTGTTCTCAGGTGTCTGTCAGGTGTTCTCAGGTGTGAGTCAGGTGTTCTCAGGTGTGAGTCAGGTGTTCTCAGGTGTGAGTCAGGTGTTCTCAGGTGTGAGTCAGGTGTTCTCAGGTGTGAGTCAGGTGTTCTCAGGTGTCTGTCAGGTGTTCTCAGGTGTGAGTCAGGTGTTCTCAGGTGTGAGTCAGGTGTTCTCAGGTGTGAGTCAGGTGTTCTCAGGTGTGAGTCAGCTGTTCTCAGGTGTCTGTCAGGTGTTCTCACGTGTCTGTCAGGTGTTCTCAGGTGTGAGTCAGGTGTTCTCAGGTGTGTGTCAGCTGTTCTCAGGTGTCTGTCAGGTGTTCTCAGGTGTCTGTCAGGTGTTCTCAGGTGTCTGTCAGGTGTTCTCAGGTGTCTGTCAGGTGTCTGTCAGGTTGTTCTCAGGTGTGTGTCAGCTGTTCTCAGGTGTCTGTCAGGTGTCTGTCAGGTGTTCTCAGGTGTTCTCAGCTGTGAGTCAGGTGTTCTCAGGTGTCTGTCAGGTGTTCTCAGGTGTGTGTCAGCTGTTCTCAGGTGTCTGTCAGGTGTCTGTCAGGTGTTCTCAGGTGTTCTCAGCTGTGAGTCAGGTGTTCTCAGGTGTCTGTCAGGTGTTCTCAGGTGTCTGTCAGGTGTTCTCAGGTGTTCTCAGCTGTGAGTCAGGTGTTCTCAGGTGAGTCAGCTGTTCTCAGGTGTGTTTCAGGTGATCCAGATGTTATCAGGTATGTGTCAGATATTCTCAATTGCTCTCTGTCAGGTGTTCTCTGTGTTTCAGGTGATCCAGATCTTCTCAGGTGTGGTAACAGGTGTTCTCTGTGTTTCAGGTGATCCAGGTGTGTTGTCACGGCTCCTCGGACAGCTTCCACTTCAGCCTCCCGGTCTCCATGGAGACGCAGAGTGAGGGATGGGACTTACCTGTGCAGGTAGGAGCAGCAGAACCAGCAGGTAGGGTCCGGGTCACATTACCTCCTCTCACTGTGTGTGTGTCCACAGCGAGGCCTGGAGAACACACCTGTGCAGGTGAGCCGGGAGGACCTGTGCCGGCTGACGGAGGCTCAGATCCACCTGACGGAGGCTCACCTGCAGCACCTGTACTCCGCCCGGTTGGACTCCGCCCTCCAGGGGGGCGGGGCTTGGCGGGACGATGGCTTCCTGTCTCTGCCCATAGAGGAAGTGCTGCCGGCGCCTCAACATATCCCAGAATCCTTCAGGGGAAAGAGCTGGAACCAGATTCACCTGGAGGACGAGGAGCAGGTGGAGAGGCTGGTGAGGCAGTTCAGGGGCGGAGCCTTCCTCTGCTACTTCGACTCTGAGTCACTGGCCAGGTAACACACACCTGTACACACACCTGTACACACACTCACCTGTCCACACTCACCTGTTCACACTCACCTGTTCACACTCACCTGTTCACACTCACCTGTTCACACTCACCTGTCCACACTCACCTGTCCACACACACCTGTACCACACACCTATAGTTCACTGACTCCCCCCTCAGGTACGGGAGGAGGCGGAGTCAGATCCAGAAAGGTGGAGGTGAGAACCTGGAGGCGGAGTCTGACCCTGGCTTCCTGCCCCTATTGGACGGTGATGAGCAGGTGTGCGTCAGGAGGAGGCGTGGCTTCAGAGTGGCGTCCAGGTGCCAGGTGAGACAGATTGGGGGTTCAGGTAAAGGTGAGACAGAGGGGGGGTTCGGGTAAAGGTGAGACAGAGGGGGGGTTCAGGTAAAGGTGAGACAGAGGGGGGGTTCAGGTAAAGGTGAGACAGAGGGGGGGTTCGGGTAAAGGTGAGACAGAGGGGGGGTTCAGGTAAAGGTGAGACAGAGGGGGGGTTCAGGTAAAGGTGAGACAAAGGGGGGGTTCGGGTAAAGGGTGAGACAGAGGGGGGGTTCAGGTAAAGGTGAGACAGAGGGTGGGTTCAGGTAAAGGTGAGACAGAGGGGGGGGTTCGGGTAAAGGTGAGAAAAGGGGGGGGTTCAGGTAAAGGTGAGACAGAGGGGGGGTTCAGGTAAAGGTGAGACAAAGGGGGGGTTCAGGTAAAGGTGAGACAGAGGGTGGGTTCAGGTAAAGGTGAGACAGAGGGGGGGGTTCAGGTAAAGGTGAGACAGAGGGGGGGTTCAGGTAAAGGTGAGACAAAGGGGGGTTCAGGTAAAGGTGAGACAGAGGGTGGGTTCAGGTAAAGGTGAGACAGAGGGTGGGTTCAGGTAAAGGTGAGACAAAGGGGGGGTTCAGGTAAAGGTGAGACAGAGGGGGGTTCAGGTAAAGGTGAGACAGAGGGGGGGTTCGGGTAAAGGTGAGAAAAGGGGGGGTTCAGGTAAAGGTGAGACAGAGGGGGGGGTTCAGGTAAAGGTGAGACAAAGGGGGGGTTCAGGTAAAGGTGAGACAGAGGGGGGGTTCAGGTAAAGGTGAGACAAAGGGGGGGTTCAGGTAAAGGTGAGACAGAGGGGGGGGTTCAGGTAAAGGTGAGACAAAGGGGGGGTTCAGGTAAAGGTGAGACAGAGGGGGGGTTCAGGTAAAGGTGAGACAAAGGGGGGGGGTTCAGGTAAAGGTGAGACAAAGGGGGGGGTTCAGGTAAAGGTGAGACAGAGGGGGGGTTCAGGTAAAGGTGAGACAAAGGGGGGGTTCGGGTAAAGGTGAGACAGAGGGGGGGTTCAGGTAAAGGTGAGACAGAGGGTGGGTTCAGGTAAAGGTGAGACAGAGGGTGGGTTCAGGTAAAGGTGAGACAGAGGGGGGGGTTCAGGTAAAGGTGAGACAGAGGGGGGTTCAGGTAAAGGTGAGACAGAGGGGGGGTTCAGGTAAAGGTGAGACAGAGGGGGGTTCAGGTAAAGGTGAGACAGAGGGGGGTTCAGGTAAAGGTGAGACAGAGGGGGGGTTCAGGTAAAGTTGAGACAGAGGGGGGTTCAGGTAAAGGTGAGACAGAGGGGGGGTTCGGGTAAAGGTGAGAAAAGGGGGGGTTCAGGTAAAGGTGAGACAGAGGGGGGGTTCAGGTAAAGGTGAGACAAAGGGGGGGTTCAGGTAAAGGTGAGACAGAGGGTGGGTTCAGGTAAAGGTGAGACAGAGGGGGGGGTTCAGGTAAAGGTGAGACAGAGGGGGGGTTCAGGTAAGGTGAGACAAAGGGGGGGTTCAGGTAAAGGTGAGACAGAGGGTGGGTTCAGGTAAAGGTGAGACAGAGGGTGGGTTCAGGTAAAGGTGAGACAAAGGGGGGGTTCAGGTAAAGGTGAGACAGAGGGGGGGTTCGGGTAAAGGTGAGAAAAGGGGGGGGTTCAGGTAAAGGTGAGACAGAGGGGGGGTTCAGGTAAAGGTGAGACAAAGGGGGGGTTCAGGTAAAGGTGAGACAGAGGGGGGGTTCAGGGTAAAGGTGAGACAGAGGGGGGGTTCAGGTAAAGGTGAGACAGAGGGGGGGTTCAGGTAAAGGTGAGACAGAGCGGGGGTTCAGGTAAAGGTGAGACAGAGGGGGGGTTCAGGTAAAGGTGAGACAGAGGGGGGGTTCAGGTAAAGGTGAGACAGAGCGGGGGGTTTCAGGTAAAGGTGAGACAGAGCGGGGGTTCAGGTAAAGGTGAGACAGAGCGGGGGTTCAGGTAAAGGTGAGACAGAGGGGGGGTTCAGGTAAAGGTGAGACAGAGGGGGGGTTCAGGTAAAGGTGAGACAGAGCGGGGGTTCAGGTAAAGGTGAGACAGAGGGGGGGGTTCAGGTAAAGGTGAGACAGAGGGGGGTTCAGGTAAAGGTGAGACAGAGGGGGGGGTTCAGGTAAAGGTGAGACAGAGGGGGGGGTTCAGGTAAAGGTGAGACAGAGGGGGGGTTCAGGTAAAGGTGAGACAGAGCGGGGGTTCGGGTAAAGGTGAGACAGAGGGGGGGTTCAGGTAAAGGTGAGACAGAGCGGGGGTTCAGGTAAAGGTGAGACAGAGGGGGGGTTCAGGTAAAGGTGAGACAGAGGGGGGGTTCAGGTAAAGGTGAGACAGAGGGGGGGTTCAGGTAAAGGTGAGACAGAGGGGGGGTTCAGGTAAAGGTGAGACAGAGGGGGGGGTTCAGGTAAAGGTGAGACAGAGGAGGGGTTCAGGTAAAGGTGAGACAGAGGGGGGGTTCAGGTAAAGGTGAGACAGAGGGGGGGTTCAGGTAAAGGTGAGACAGAGGAGGGGTTCAGGTAAAGGTGAGACAGAGGGGGGGTTCAGGTAAAGGTGAGACAGAGGGGGGGTTCAGGTAAAGGTGAGACGTCCTCCTCACCTGTCTGTGTTCCTGCAGGTGGTGAAGGTGAGTCGCAGCACTCAGACCGTCCGGTTGGTCGTCCCAGCTGTCCGTCAGTCAGAGGCCCCGCCCCCCGGAGTCCCGGTTGTCTGTCAGTCAGAGGCCCCACCCTCCGGAGTCCCAGCATCCAATCAGGAAGCCGAGAGGACCCCTGCGTCGTGGCGCTGCCTTCCTGCAGAGTATTACGACATCCTGACTCCTCTGCAGCCGCGCAGCTCCCTGATCTACCTGCTGAGCCCCGCCCTCCCCCACTCACCTGCAGCAGGCCCCGCCCCCCCACACACAGGCCCCGCCCCGCTACACACAGGCTCCGCCCCCCGGGGCTGCAGGAAGAGGCGCCCGCAGGCCTGTCAGGGGTCCAAAGTCAAATACAAACCACTTCCTGTCCGCTTCTACAACCCAACCAGCAAGCGCATTCTGAAGCACCCGCCCCCCTCCCGAGGCCCCGTCCCTTCATGCCCCCCCCCCTCCCTGTGTCCGCCAGCTGTTCCGCAGTCTGAGTCCGGACCTGAACACTGAGGGGGAGGGGACTTCCAGGATCAAAGCCCCGCCCCCTCACAGCAGGGGGCAGAGGCCACGCCCCCTCAGGAAAACCAGGTCTCAGGCTGCCCCCCCCAGAGAGGGTCTACCCCCCCCCTCCCTCCCGCAGGGGGAGGGGCCGCCGGGGTAACTGCCCTTCAAAATAAAATGTAATATCTGTATTCTCTGTGAGAGGTCATATCATTAATAATGAATGTATTATTCAGTGGGGGTCTTTAATATGTTTATAAAGGTTTACAGGGACTCTGGACATTTAATAAAGTTATAGTTATTTTTAAAAACAAGAAAAAGGTCATTACATTGGATTTCATTATTATTTAAAGAAATACATGAAGTGCACCCGTCACCCTGTCGGCAGCTGTAACACCTGTTCTGTGTGTTTATCAGTGTTTATGTTCAGTTCTCACAGCGTCCACCAGGCGGAGGATGGAGTCGCCCACCTGCTCTGCTGACAGCTGAAGCCCCGCCCACTTCCTCTCACCTGCACACAGGAAGTCAGAAACAAATATCTAACAAAATAAAGCTCCATGTTCACATGCTGTTCTGGTACAAACAAATATAATAACCTGATCAAATATAAAGTTACTGGTTAGAGGCTCACCTGTCTGTCTCTCTGTCCACCTGTCTGTCTGTCTCTCTGTCCACCTGTCTGTCTGTCTCTCTGTCCACCTGTCTGTCTGCATCTCTGTCTTCAGTCTGTCTGCCGTCTGCTGCAGCTGCTGCTCCAAACTACATGTCCCACAATCCTCCTCTCCCTGTAGCCCCGCCTCCTGAGCTGCATCCTGTTGTCCTATTGGACAGCTAGGCTCCTCCTCCTCGCCAGAGTGGCTGTCATGTGATTGAGGAGTGTGCTGGTGCATTGTGGGGGATGGAGTTTGTAGTTCTTCCTCACTCCACTCGTCCTCTGTCCTCAGAAAAACGTCCTCTTCTTCATCTTCCTCTTCTTGCTCTTCTTCATCTTCCTCTTCTTCTTTGTATTCCGTGTCATAAATTGGCATCAGGTTTTGTCTCTCCGTGTTCCCCCTGGTTAGCATGTTGTCTGTAGTTAGCGTGTTCTCTGTGTTCTCAATGGTTAGCGTGTTCTCCATGTTCCCCCTGGTTAGCATGTTCCCCCTGGTTAGCATGTTTCCCCTGGTTAGCGTGTTCTCCATGTTTAGCATGTTGTCTGGAGTTAGCGTGTTCTCCCTGGTTAGCGTGTTCTCCATGTTTAGCATGTTGTCTGGAGTTAGCATGTTCCCCCTGGTTAGCGTGTTCTCCATGTTTAGCATGTTGTCTGGAGTTAGCGTGTTCTCCCTGGTTAGCGTGTTCTCCATGTTTAGCATGTTCCCCCTGGTTAGCATGTTCTCCATGTTTAGCATGTTGTCTGAAGTTAGTGTGTTCTCCCTGGTTAGCGTGTTCTCCATGTTTAGCATGTTGTCTGGAGTTAGCATGTTCCCCCTGGTTAGCGTGTTCTCCATGTTTAGCATGTTGTCTGGAGTTAGCATGTTCCCCCTGGTTAGCGTGGTCTCCCTGGTTAGCGTGTTCTCCATGTTTAGCATGTTGTCTGGAGTTAGCATGTTTCCCCTGGTTAGCGTGTTCTCCATGTTTAGCATGTTGTCTGGAGTTAGCATGTTCCCCCTGGTTAGCATGGTCTCCCTGGTTAGCGTGTTCTCCATGTTTAGCATGTTGTCTGGAGTTAGCATGGTCTCCCTGGTTAGTGTGTTCTCCATGTTTAGCATGTTGTCTGGAGTTAGCATGTTCCCCCTGGTTAGCGTGTTCTCCATGTTTAGCATGTTGTCTGGAGTTAGCATGTTCCCCCTGGTTAGCATGGTCTCCCTGGTTAGCATGTTCTCCGTGTTGTTGGCGTGTTGTTGAGTCTCCATGTTGGTCACCGCCTGAAGAGGAACATCAGTCAGAGGAGATAAACTACACCTCCCATGATGCACCTGGTCTGTATGCAGGTATATTACCTGAGTGAGTTTGCGCTGCAGGTGCAGGTTGTTCTCTCTCAGCGTCGCCATGGTAACCTCCATCTCTGAACACCTGTCCTCCAGAACGCCCTGCTCTGATTGGACGGTAAGACGCCACACCTGTAGCTGCTGCTCCATTAACCTGAAGAGGAGGAGAGGATGAAGAGGATGAGGAAGAGAGGATGAGGAAGAGGAGGAGGAACAGGAAGTAGTTTTCTCACCATTTGTCTCTCTGCAGGTTTCTGACTTCAGTCAACAGGACAGACGCCTTCAGCTGATCATCAACAACAACAACAATATAACAATTAGATGAAGTATTATAATGAACTAATTGTTTAATTGATTGTTTACCTGCGGAGGCTCCTCCTCCGTCTGCAGAGCTTTGGAGGAGGTGGGAGGATGCACTGATGCATTCTGGGAGACGGAGTCTTCAGAGGGGGGTGGGGCGCTGATGAACAAAATAAACGCATTAATAGCGAAGAGTTCGCTAACGAGGTTAACGAGACACTCACCTGACTCACCTGTCCTGAGGCTCCTCCCACTCCAGGCCCCGCCTCCTGCCTGCCTCTCTCTGGGTCTGTCTCCGTGGCAACAGCGTGTAACGAGCGCTGCGTGCTAACGAGGACAGAGACTCCCTCCAGGTGGGCTGCAACAGTCAATTAACTCACCTGTGTTATTCACCAGTGTGTGTGTGTGTGTGTGTGTGTGTGTGTGTGTGTGTGTGTGTGTGTGTGTGTGTGTGTGTGTGTGTGTGTGTGTGTGTGTACCTGTGTGCAGAACTCCAGCACAGGGTGGTGTGTGTTGTGTCTCCTGGAGTGTTTCTCCTTCAGGTAGCAGCTCTGGCAGAGGTGGACGTTCACACACTTCATACAGCGATACCTGAAAACAAGAGGAGCGCTCTGATTGGCTGACGGTAAACAACTGTTCTGATTGGCTGACAGTAACAACTGTTCAGATTGGCTCACAGTAAACAAAGCATTCTGATTGGCTGACAGTAAATTAAGCGTTCTGATTGGCTCACAGTAAACAACTGTTCTGATTGGCTCACCTGAGGCCAGTGAAGGGGCGGGTCTTACAGGTGTGGCAGCGCACGTCGTGACGGACATCCTGACTGACGGACAGGCGGTACAGAGTGGGTAACCATAGCAACAGCGGCGGCTCGCCCCGTAGCCATGACAACACGTGTTCTCCGCTGGCCATGTCACCATGACGACCTCCAATCAGCTGTCTGCTTCCTGTTCTCACCCCTTCAAAACAAGAGCTCACCGCCGCCTCCACTTGCCCGAACGCTCCGTCCTCCTGCAGCGCCGCGGGAACCTGAACACATCACAGGGTGAGAGGAGCAGAGGGCATGCTGGGAAATGTAGTCCGTTCTTACCTGGCTCAGATCCAGAAGCAAAGCCCGGAGACCGGAGCGGCTGATGGAGGCGGAGCCACGCTGCACTGCTACACCAATCAGAGCTGCACACAGAGGCTTTTATTGTGAAGGAGACACACTGACACCAGGCTCTTATTGTGAAGGAGACACACTGACACCAGGCTCTTATTGTGAAGGGCACACACTGTTTCTACTGACAACACCAGGCTCTTATTGTGAAGGGCACACACTGTTCTACTGACAACACCAGGCTTTTATTGTGAAGGAGCCTCACCTGTGTACTTCCTGTGCAGAGTTTCTGCTGACAGTGCGATCAAAGACGTCTGAAGAGACGCAGAGGAAATAAATCCAGAGCCGCTCCTGAACACATCATATAATAATAAATATATAAAACATAAATAATATATCAAATCAAATCAAATCAGGTTTTATTTATATAGCACATTTAAAAGCGATTTTTGGTCGAGCCAAAGTGCTGTACATGTAATAAAAACACATTACTACAATCACAAATAAACGACAATAAATTACAACAGATATATCTTAAAAACAAAATAAAAATAAAACACACGGAAAAGTCAGGAGTCATGCTCCGCTCTAACTAGAAAGCCAGAGAGAAGAAGTGTGTTTTTAGTTTAGATTTAAAAACCCCTAGGGTCTGGGCCGACCTCACATGGAGGGGCAGAGTGTTCCAGAGCCTAGGGCCAGCTGCTGTGAAGGCTCGGTGCCCTCGGGTTTTGAGCCTGGTCTTGGTATATAAGATATAAAAGACATAGATAATAAATGATGTTATTCACAGACCGGTCGTTGATCCCGAACATCAGGCTGCACGTTTCCTCCAGAGTCACATGACCCGGCACTTCCTGTCCCACGCTATGGAACATCCTGTTCAGAGCCCGGGTCACTTCCTGTCTGTCCAAGTTGACTTCCTGTCTGTGAGGGAGCGCCGTGGTGACGTGTCGACAAAACACAGCGTCCACTGGAGATAAACCATCAACAACACTGTCCACTGGAGATAAACCATCAACAACACTGTGTCCACTGGAGATAAACCATCAACAACACCGTGTCCACTGGAGACAAACCATCAACAACACCGTGTCCACTAGAGATAAACCATCAACAACAATGTGTCCACTGGAGATAAACCATCAACAACACTGTGTCCACTGGAGATAAACCATCAACAACACTGTGTCCACTGGAGACAAACCATCAACAACACCGTGTCCACTAGAGATAAACCATCAACAACACTGTCCACTGGAGATAAACCATCAACAACACTGTGTCCACTGGAGATAAACCATCAACAACACCGTGTCCACTGGAGATAAATCATCAACAACACCGTGTCCACTGGAGATAAACCATCAACAACACCGTGTCCACTGGAGATAAACCATCAACAACACCGTGTCCACTAGAGACAAACCATCAACAACACTGTGTCCACTGGAGATAAACCATCAACAACACTGTGTCCACTGGAGACAAACCATCAACAACACTGTGTCCACTGGAGACAAACCATCAACAACACCGTGTCCACTGGAGATAAACCATCAACAACACCGTGTCCACTGGAGATAAACCATCAACAACACCGCGTCCACTGGAGATAAACCATCAACAACACCGCGTCCACTGGAGATAAACCATCAACAACACCGCGTCCACTGGAGATAAACCATCAACAACACCGCGTCCACTGGAGATAAACCATCAACAACACCGTGTCCACTGGAGATAAACCATCAACAACACCGCGTCCACTGGAGATAAACCATCAACAACAACGTGTCCACTGGAGACAAACCATCAACAACACCGCGTCCACTGGAGACAAACCATCAACAACACCGTGTCCACTGGAGACAAACCATCAACAACACCGTGTCCACTGGAGATAAACCATCAACAACAACGTGTCCACTGGAGACAAACCATCAACAACACCGTGTCCACTGGAGACAAACCATCAACAACACCGTGTCCACTGGAGACAAACCATCAACAACACCGTGTCCACTGGAGATAAACCATCAACAACACCGTGTCCACTGGAGATAAACCATCAACAACACCGCGTCCACTGGAGATAAACCATCAACAACACCGCGTCCACTGGAGATAAACCATCAACAACACCGCGTCCACTGGAGATAAACCATCAACAACACCGCGTCCAACTGGGAGATAAACCATCAAACAACACCGCGTCCACTGGAGAGAAAACCATCAACAACACCGCGTCCACTTGGAGAAAACCATCAAAAACACCGTGTCCACTGGAGATAAACCATCACAACACGTGTCCACTGGAGACAAACCATCAACAACACCGTGTCCACTGGAGACAAACCATCAACAACACCGTGTCCACTGGAGATAAACCATCAACAACACCGTGTCCACTGGAGACAAACCCATCAACAACACCGTGTCCACTGGAGACAAACCATCAACAACAACGTGTCCACTGGAGACAAACCATCAACAACACCGGTCCACTGGAGACAACCATCAACAAACACCGTGTCCACTGGAGACATAAACCATCAACAACACCGTGTCCACTGGAGATAAACCATCAACAACACCGCTGTCCACTAGAGATAAACCATCAACAACACCGCGTCCACTGGAGATAAACCATCAACAACACCGCGTCCACTGGAGATAAACCATCAACAACACCGCGTCCACTGGAGATAAACCCATCAAACCAAACACCGCGTCCACTGGAGAAAAACCGATCAACAACACCGCGTCCACTGGAGAAAAACCATCAACAACACCGCGTCCACAGGAGATAAACCATCAACAACACCGCGTCCACTGGAGACAAACCATCAACAACACCGCGTCCACTGGAGAAAAACCATCAACAACACCGCGTCCACTGGAGAAAAACCATCAACAACACCGCGTCCACTGGAGATAAACCATCAACAACACCGTGTCCACTATAGATAAACCATCAACAACACCGCGTCCACTGGAGATAAACCATCAACAACACCGCGTCCACTGGAGATAACCATCAACAACACCGTTCCACTGGAGATAACATCAACAACACCGTGTCCACTAGAGATAAACCATCAACAACACCGTGTCCACTGGAGATAAACCATCAACAACACCGTGTCCACTAGAGATAAACCATCAACAACACCGTCCACTGGAGATAAACCATCAACAACACCGTGTCCACTAGAGATAAACCATCAACAACACCGTGTCCCACTGGAGATAAACCATCAACAACACCGTGTCCACTGGAGATAAACCATCAAACAAACACCGTGTCCACTAGAGTAAACCATCAACAACACCGTGTCCACTGGAGATAAACCATCAACAACACCGTGTCCACTAGAGATAAACCATCAACAACACCGTGTCCACTGGAGATAAACCATCAACAACACCGTGTCCACTAGAGATAAACCATCACAAACACCGTGTCCACTAGAGATAAACCATCAACAACACCGCGTCCACTGGAGATAAACCATCAACAACACCGCGTCCACTGGAGATAAACCATCAACAACACGTGTCCACTGGAGATAAACCATCAACAACACCGGTCCACTAGAGACAAACCATCAACAACAATGTGTCCACTAGAGATAAACCATCAACAACACGTGTCCACTGGAGATAAACATCAACAAACACCGTGTCCACTGGAGATAAACCATCAACAACAATGTGTCCACTAGAGATTACACCATCAACAACACCGTGTCCACTGGAGATAAACCATCATAATAATCATTTAATAAATATATATATAATACTAATATTTACTGCAGAGGTGTTTCTGAAGGTGCTGCAGCTTGACGGCCGTTCTGTAGACGGACGAACGGATTTCATTAAATCCTTCTGAAGAAACAAACAAAGTTTTATAAATCCAGTCTGAACGAATGGAGATTAAAACATGTCATTATTTACCCAGGCTGGCCAGGTCCATGATGTCTGAAACACAAATATTAACAAAGTTTATAAAAACATCCTCATAAAACACACTTAGAAACACAAAGAGAGAAATATAAAATAAAATATAAAACAATCTGCAGGGAACTGAAACATGGAGGTCAAAATAAACACAGTAAATAAATATGAATATAAAGACGTACGGTCCGCGGTGTTCTTCGCGTTTCTCTCTCTGCAGCGTCTGAATTATTGATGACAGTTTCCTGTTTCACCTGCCGACCACCTGCTGTCTGACAACCAATCAGCAGCCGGCACAGCATTTGGAAACATAAATAATGTAAGATCAGGATGAGGATTGATTTTCAAAATAAAATCCCCAGAAAGCAGCAATA